TTTTTTTTTTTTTTTTTTTTTGGTAGAGATGGGGTTTCTCCATGTTGCCCGAGCTGATCTTGAACTCCTGGGCTTAAGCGATCTGCCTGCCTTGGCCTCCCAGAGTGTTAGAATTGTAGACATAAGGCACAGCGTCTGGCGATGACATGCATTTTATTCAACTTTTACTGACCACGCATGGATCTGCTGTAATTTTAACAAATCCCCTCCAGTTGGGCATGTGAGCTTTTACTCCTGTTTTCCTGCCCGTTGGCATTTTCGTGTTAGGCCCTAGTGAAGTCTGCAGGCGACTACAGTTTTCTTCTTGTATGGACACCTTTCTTACTGTGTGTCTGTAGTGTGGTTCTTTGTAGGAGATGGCTGCTCCCTTCAGGGGAGAAGGTGGTCTGGGACTTGGTACCTCCCAAGCTCATCTGGCACCCTGTACAGCACAGGTGCTAAACAACTGTGAGTGGCTTTGGTTTCTGCCTCTGTCCCTATGATGTAACAGGTCCTTGTCGGTGGCTTTGACCACTGTTGTGGCTCTGTGTGGCTGCTTCTGAGCTCATGCCTGTGGCCGGCCCAGGCCTTACCTCTCAGTGTGGGCTCGCGGCTCTGGACTCTGCAGTGTCCTGGGATTGTCCTCTCTTTAGTGGTCTTGCATTTTTAGGATGTCAGCAGAATCCTTAGGAATTCTCTGCCTTGCGGTTGCAGTGAGCCGAGATCATGCCACTGCACTCCAGACTGGGCCACAGAGCGACTCTGTCTCAAAAAAAAGAAGGAAAATAAATTTTGTCCCCTGCCTTAGAATGAGGATTATGTCTCTAAACTTAAATCATAAAGTGACTTCCAGGGCTGTTGTGATGGAATCTGAAGGTCATTCTGAGAATTGTCTTGGCGAAGGAGAGGCATGAGGCAAGACGCGCGAGTTTCTTGCTCTCCTTTGTGTTCAGCCTGGTGTATTCAGTGTGGTCCAGGCTCACTCCAGCTCCAGCAGCTCTGTGAGGCAGGAGCGTCGTCTCTGTCCTTAGCGGTCCAGGGTCCAGCCCTCGCCTGCGGTGATGCCCGTATGGCTGAGCCCAGGGTGAGCCCTGTGGTCTGCGCCGGCCTGTGTCTCCCTCCACAATCTTTGATAATCAACATGCTCTCGTTTTCCCCTGATGTTCTCGGTAGGAAAAAACACCCCAGAGCGCTCGGGGTTACCGAAGGGCTGTCTTCTGTACAAAACCCTCCAGGTGCAGATGTTGGACCTCCTCGACATCGAAGGCCTCTACCCTCTGTACAACCGGGTTGAGCGATACCTAGAAGAGTTTCCCGAGGAGAGGTGAGGTCAGGCGGTCCCCGTCTTGGTGGCTCTGAGAGGAGACTGTCGGGGGGGCAGGGTAAGAACATGCCTCCCAGGGCACAGCTTCCTAGGAGATGAAGCAGTTCGGCCACTCCCCACCCCAGTCCTCTGCTCCCAGGTACCAAGGCCTGGCTCTGCAATTTAGTGCCTTGTGAAGGAGGGTCACTTACCAGTTTCAAAAAAGAAAGCACATCTGTGACCCTGGTAATTCCAATCCCTGAGTTGGGGCTGAGCCTGCAGAGGGCAGTGTTGCTCCACAGCCAAGCAGCACTCCTGCAGGCCCTTCTGTGTCAGCCAAGCCTCCATCCTGGGCTTTCACTGCGGGTCACTGGGCTCCACACCTGTGCTGTGTCCAGTTGGGGCAGGGATCCTCTTCCTTCCTCACTGGTCTTTCCTTGCGTCTCTGACGCAGTATGCTACTTGTGGTGAACAGGAGATGGCTCAGCTTCAGGGCTCCCTGGTTCTGGCCTTGCGAAGTTCTGTTTAAAACCTCCCTGTTTAACGTGAGGGAGATAGATCTATTAGGTGTTTTTCAAAATAAAGTGTGTGATGTTTAGTAGTACTGGGCTTTGTAGACTGTGTTAGCAGTTTAAGAAACAATCTCTGTGTGGCTTTGTCATCCTGTTTTTATTGTGCTTTCTTCTTCAGAAAAACCTTACAAATAGATGGGCCTTATGATGAAGCATTTTACCAGAAGCTGCTTGACCTTTCCACTGAGGATGACGGGACAGTGGCCTTCGCGTTAACGAAGGTTGGCAGACCCATCCAAAAACATGCTGTCTGCGCCGGCCTGTGTCTCCCTCCAACATGCTCTCATTTTCCCCTAATGTTCTCGGTAGGAAAAAACACCCAGAGTGCTCGGGGTTACCGAAGGGCCGTCTTCTGTACAAAACCCTCCAGGTGCAGATGTTGGACCTGCTGGACATCGAAGGCCTCTACCCTCTGTACAACCGGGTTGAGCGATGTCTGTGATCCTTAGATTCTTAGGACTAATTTGTTTTTTTTCCCATTATCTACCCCTGAGGTTTGAAACAGAAAACTTGGGATCTAAAAAAAAATGGCTGAAGTTTTTCCCAGATGAACTGGTACAGATGATAGTACATTTAGGTTTTAAGGGGAATTTCCCTTGGTTGAGTTCTGCTCTGGCCCATCCCTGGTGGGATCAGGGCCCAGGGGCGGCCAATCTGCAACACATCTGCATGCCTTCTCAGCAGCCCAGAACAGGCTCTCTACCAACCGTCCCTTTCTGCAAGGCCTTTGCTGGGGCTCCGGGACCCCACCTGTGCCTCTGCCCTGTCCCTGACTATATGCGGGCAGCTTCCTTCCCTTAGGACCAAGGCCAAGGGACAGCCTTCAGGAGTCTCTTAGGGAAGAGGCCTGGTCCTGTATTTCCTGGGTCTGTGAAATTCAGGGCTCCATAAGCTTGGTTAGGGAAAAAATGGCATCTTTATTTTTACTAAGCTCTACCTGGAATTTAGCATTTCTTTCCATTACGAATGTGGCAATGAGCCTGTGGGGTCAGCGGCACCCGGGACTTTGCCACTAAGAGGAAAAAAAGCAGACTTTCCGTCTCACACTGTAGCTGCAGACACTTTGAGTGTGTTTTATTCATCACTACATGAAATGTTACATATTACTATGGAATATGTTTGTTTTTAAAAATATTTTGGCTCAGCACTTTGGGAGGCTGAGGTGGGAGAATGGCTTAAAGCCAGAAGCTGGAAGCCAGCCTGGTCAACATGGTGAGACGCCCATCGCTACAAAAGAAAAATGAAAAAATCAGCTGGACCTGGTGGTGTGTGCCTATAGTCCCAGCTTCTTGGGAGGCTGAGGTAGGAGATGCAGTCAGGGCTGTGGGGAACTATGATCACACCGCTGTGCTCCAGCCTGGGCGACAGAGCAAGCCCCTGCCTCAGAAAAAAAATTTTTTTTTATAGTTTTGCCGTCTATATATTACACATTTAAAAATGTTATTCTAAGCTGGGTGTGGTGGCTCCGACTTGTAATCTCAGAACGTTGGGAGGCTGAGGTGGGCAGATCACGAGGTCAGGAGATCAAGACCATCCTTGCTAAGATGGTGAAACCTTGTCTCTACTAAAAATACAATTAGCCAGGTATGGTAGCATGCGCCTGTAGTCCCAGCTACTCGGGAGGCTGAGGGAGGAGAATCGCTTGAACCCAGGAGGTGGCGGTTACAGTGAGCTATGATTGGCTACTGCACTCTGGACTGGGTGGCACAGTGAGATTCTGTCTCAAAAAAATAAAAGATGTTATTCTGAGAGAGGCTCATAGGCTTTACTAGACTCCCAAAACCTTTACTGGGCAACAAGCAGTGAGGAAGCCTGTTCTGGAGTGAGCTGCCACTCCCCCCACGTGTGCATGCTTCACTGCCTGGAGCCCTGGGACCAGCCTGTCCAGTCGCATTGACGTGTCTGTGGCTCGTACTTGGGAAGGAGCCCTCACTGCTTTCTCTAGTTGGGGCCGCAGCTGTCAGTGTTTTGAGGAGGACTGAGGCTGTCTGGTAGAGCCTGAGCCTCAGGTGAGCCTCTGACGCGAAGGCCACAGGGATGTTAGAGTTGTCATCCTGGTGAGGAGGGTTCCAAGTGGAACCCTGGGGTGAGAATAAAGCAGTGGCGCCTGCCTCGTGTTTGTAACTCGGATACATTGATTCAGGTATAAACAGCAGCATGGTGGGTTTTTTCCCAACAGAAGAAACAGGACTTTATTTCCTTTTATATGTTTCTGTATTTTTCAGTTTTCTACAAAATAAGTATGGATTACTTTTTAATTTTATTTTAATCTTTTAACCTGAACTGTAAATGTAGTCTTGTAAGCAGCTAAAGCAGCCATCACAGCTAAAAGAAAGACATTGAAACAACGCCAGCTGCAGGTTTCAAGGCATCCCTCATCTGTTGCCCATGGCGATGGAAAATGACACAGTCACTCTGGAAAACAGTTTGGAAGGTTCCTTCACACTAAACATGCAGCCACCCTGCACTCATGCTCCTGGGCATTTATCCCAGAGAAATGAAGACTAACACTTACCAAAAACCTGTAGAGAAATGTTCACAGCAGCTCTCTTTGTAACAGCCAAGCACTGGACACCACCTACATGCCTTTCCACAGTGACCTCCAGCAGGTCACACAGACTGTGTGCATTCATACCACAGAACTCTGCTCAGCACCAAAAAGGAACGGACTCTTGAGAAATAGCAGCCTGGGCGGATCTCCAGGGGGTTTGTTGGTGACAAAAACCAATCCCCAAAGGTCATACTGAATGACTCTGTGTATAACATTCTTGAATGACAAAGATTAGTGCTTGCCAGGGGTTGGCAAGGAAGAGCAAGGGAGGTAGATATGGTTATAAAAGGTCAAACCAGGGAATCCCTGTGGTGATGAAACTGCTCTGTATCTTGACTGTGGTGGTGAACACATCAACTTACGTGGGATCTCACACACACACACACACACACACACACACACACACACACACTTGCATACATGTAAAACCCGAGATATCTGAATAAGCTTGTGGATTGTATCAGCATCACTCACCTTGCTGTGATATTGTAGTTTTGCAAGATGTTGAGAGAAATGTGGCTTGAGGTCTTTCCGTGCTGCAGTAGATGGGCCTGCTCTTTTTCTCTTGTAGGAAATTAGCTTCTGGTAGTTGAAGCTGAAGAGGGTGGTTTGAAGCTGAAGCTAGGGAGTCGGCTGAGGACATTTCTACACAAAAGTTCTTGCACTCATATTGTTTCTCTCATTGAACCCTGAAGGCTGGGCATGGTGGCTCACGCCTATAATCCCAACACTTTGGGAGGCTAAGGCCAGTCAATCGCTTGAGACCAGCCTGGCCCACATGGCAAAACTCTGTCTTTACTAAAATATAACATTAGCCGGGTGTGGTGGTGCATGCCTGTAGTTCCAGCTACTCCAGAGGCTGAGGCAGGAGAATTGCTTGAATCTGGGAGGCAGAGGCTGCAGTGAGCCAAGATTATGCCACTGAACTCCAGCCTGGGTGACAGAGCGAGACTCCATCTCAAAAAAAAAAAAAAAAAAAAAATTGAACCCTGTACCTCCGAAGAAAAGACTGAATATTTTCTTCATTTCAATGCTCAGAAAACTGAAACCCCCAGTAACTCTTGCTTTTGTGTGTTGTGTAGTATCAGGAAGCAGGGGTCAGCAGACATTTGTAAAGTCTGGTCCTTGTTGAAGGTACCTGGCCTTGCCACCGTAGCTCAAAAGGAGCCATGGAGAAATCATAAGTGGGGCTGAGTTCCAGGAAAACAAAAACAGGAGGTGGTGGGCTACATTTGGTCCCCAGCCCATAGTTTCCTGACCTCTGAGCACTTTTGCTTGTTTTTTTATTTCATCTTTTGCTCTGTGTGTTTAGAACTTCCTCCTGTTTCTCTCCCTTTAGTGGTGTCTCATCCAGTTTGATCCTGCATATTTAAATTCTAAAGTTAATCAGTTATTTCAGACTCTCAGTCCCCACACAGTATAAGGACTTGGGACAACTTAGTTCCAGTTGTCTCTCCCAACACATGTGCAGTATTGTCTTGTATTTTGTTTGTCTTGGTATTTTTTTAGTTATAATTCAAAGTATTATTTTACACAGATGTTTGTTTAGATTTATCCATGTGTTTTCCCTTACCACTGCCTAACATTCTTGTAGCTCGGATCTTTTCCCATTTTCCTATTTTTCTGTAACAGCTTTATTGAGATGTAATTTATATACCATACAGTTTACCCGCTTAAAGCGTACAATGCAGTGGTTTTTACTGTATTTAAAAATAACGTGCAACCATCACCACAGTCACTCTTAGATTTTCATCACTTCAGTAAAAACCCTGTACCCTTTAGCCGTCATCCCATCGTCTCCTCATTACCCCAAGCCCTAAGCAACCACCCGTCTACTTTCTATCTCTACAGACTTGTCTGTTCCAAAGGCTGCATGTAAACAGAATCATTTAATGCGTGGTTGTTTGTGGTTGGCTTCTTTCACTTAGCCTGATGTCTTCAAGGTTCGTCCATGTTGTAGCATGGATCAGTACTTCATTCCTTTACATGGCTGTTCATCCTTTGATGGACATGTGGGTTATTTCCACTTTTTGGCTGTTATGCTCAGTGGTGCTATAAATACTTGCGTAGAGGCTTTTTGCATGGACACGTGTTTTCACTTTTCTGGGGTAATATGCCTAGGGGTGGAATTGCTGGGTCCAGTGGCAATTTTATGTCTAACTTTTTGAGGTCCTGGGCAGACTTTCCAAAATTGCTGTACAGTTCGATCTTCCCACCAGCAGTGTTTGAAGGTGTCTCTATTTTTTTTCACATCTTGAGCAACACTTGTTATTACCTGCCTTTTTTATTTTAGCTGTCCTCGAACGTGTACAGTGGTATCTTGTAGTTTTGATTTGCATTTCCCTGAAGACTGTAAGAGCATCTTTTCATGTGCTTCTTGCCCACTTATATATCTGTTTTGGAGAAACATCTATTCAGATCCTTTGCCCACTATTTTTTTTTTTTTTTTTTTTTTTGAGATGGAGTCCCGCTCTGTTGCCCAGGCTGGAGTGCAGTGGCACAATCTTGGCTCACTGCAACCTCTAACTCCTGAACTTAAGCAGTTCACTTGCCTCAGCCTCCTGAGTAGCTGGGATTGTAGGCAACTACCAGAATGCCCAGCTAATTTTTTTGTATTTTAAGTAGAGACAGGGTTTCTCCATGTTGGCCAGGCTGGTCTTGAACTCCTGA